TACAACAAAAAAACACGGAAAAACTGTTAAAAAAACACGTTTTTTTTTTATCATAACTCCCTGGTTTTTCATGCAATGCTTTCCAAATTTGTCAGGTAAATTAATTTCAGTTAAGTGGACGAAATCTGTGACATTCTAGGTCCAAAACCGGCTTTTGCTATTTAGCCAATAGTTTCTTCATATGATTCCATCCTAAATTGGCATTTGAACAACCTTTGATGCAAAAGATTCTTTGAGAAGGATTACTGAAGCGTTAAATATATATATATATATATATATATATATATATATATATATATATATATAATAGCTGCGACATTGTTCTATTTATTGAACAATTTAGTTCATGCCACATCGACTGAAAAAAATCTACTACAACAAAAGAATTCTCCAATTACCATATTAGTAAAAAATAAAAAAACGCAGTCTCTTAACTTTTCAAAAATTCAACCTTAGCATTGCGAGCGAACACTTCAAAATTTCTTATAGTTAACACATTTCTAAAAAAAACATATTTCGATTCACATCTAATCTTTCGTGTCGCTGGATGTATTATTAAAAAATCAATTTCCATTCCTTACGATGTCTGTATGAACAGGTGAAAGTACTAGCAAAAAAACACCTTATACAACTTGAATTTATTAAAAACAGGGATCACAACATTCATCTAGAGGTTCGTGGGTTAATGTAATTTTAATAAATTTGTTTGCGAAGATGTATTCTCGCCATTTATATCATTAACCTCACTAATCTGTTTTTTGGTTGAATGATTCATGTAATATATATATATATATATATATATATATATATATATATATATATATATATATATATATATATATAAAGTGGGAATAAAGTCACGATACAGTTACTCACAATAATAAGACAAAGCAATTAATCAAGTCCAAAAATTTCTTATTAACCAATCATCTGGTTCAGAGTTTTGCTTTTTTATTATAAATAACTGTATAGTGACTTTATTACCACACTATGTGTGTGTATGTATATTTAAGCAGCATATCTCAAGAATGTTCCATTGAATAAATATAGACATGTCTATTTTTATAATAATCCTTTCTAGTTCTCTAATTAGCTTCTTGATGTTAAGTTGAAATTCATAAAGGAAGGCACCATAGTTTTCGTTAACCCAAGTACTTTCGATCTCCTCCGAGAACATCCTCAGGGGTGAATTACAAAGACAAACTTGATGTAACCATCATCGCTGTGATGGTGATTTTTGAAAACACGCGCGAAAATGCTCTGTTATAATGAATTTAACATTTTAAATTTAACAAGAAAAACGCCACAGCTACAACTGATAAATTTGAAGTTTTCGAAAATTACAACTTAATAGCAAGAAGCTAATTAGAGACCTAGAAAGGATTATTATAAAAATAGCAAATGTTTATATTATTTGATGAAACATGTTTTATATATATATATATATATATATATATATATATATTATGAAATGGACGAAGTCCGACAATTATTTTAAGACATTTTTATGTTAATACATTCTTTTTACGAATATTTAAGTAAATGCTCTTTGTCCATTTCATAATGTGTGACGTCATTTGTTTACCTTTGGATACGCCATGAGCAGATATGAATGTACGTGAGCGAATCATGGAAGATTGTAGTTTAAAGACAGTAAAATCGACCATGCTAACCGAACGCTCCTCTGTGGCCAAACCGGTTTAAGGCACGTCAGGCTATATGATGGTTGCGTTCAGGATACATGTTCGATTCCTGTCGGAGGACGCATATTTTCTATGAAAATTTCTCGGAGATTCAGGCCGGTAAATACTGTTCATTATAAACAGCGCATTTACTTAAATATTTTTATCTATAAAAGAATGTATAGACATAAAAATGTATATAATATATATATATATATATATATATATATATATATATATATATATATATGCGATCATCACGCTGCCTTGGTTTCAACATTTCGGTATATCAGGCGATCCGGGCTAAATAATTTCACAACGCGAAGCGGAATAGAAGGGGAGGAGGAAAGCAAGGCTATTGTGATTGGAACGGAGGATGGGTTATATGAAATGTATATAAGCTCCTCCTGGTTCAAAACGAACTCAAAAGGATGTATTTGTGTGTGTGTGTGTGTGTGCGCGCATCGTGCCTTTATTTCTGATCTCTCATTCCGAAGGTTCTTTTGGTCTGCAAATTTTATTATAGCAAACCTTTCTTCCTGGCAAAGATTGCAGACATCACTAGGATTCTTTGTAAATTTGGCCGTTTTTATTATTCCCCACTTTTCAATGGCATCTTTGTATTGTTTTGTTTTTATTTTAATTTCCACGCATGGCTGGGTAGTCTGTTAGAATTCCTAACTGTTTTGTTTTTTTTTTAATTAAAATCTCTGGGTGTTAAATTTTTATTTTTATTTTATTTTATTTTATTTATACGCATTCATCACATTTTAATACTACTAGTCTAATTCAACACTGACCAATAATTTATATATATATATATATATATATATATATATATATATATATATATATATAACGAAATACCTTATATATAATCCGTCTTAATGGAACACACTTTATTTATATATATATATATATATATATATATATATATATATATATTTCAAATAGATATGACTGATATATATATATATATATATATATATATATATATATATATATATATATATATATATATATATATATCTTGTTTATTTGAATAATATCGACAAATACCAATTTTATTAATTTTTCAAAGTTCTGTTGTCTTAGTGACCTTGTTTGCTACTGGTTTATATATTTAAAATATGGTGTACTTTGGCAGCAAAATAGGAGAGACAGAACTTGTCGATATTATTAAAGGCAGATATGCTTGAGAAAAGTTCTGGCTGTCGAAATACACCTTCGACATATATATATATATATATATATATATATATATATATATATATATATATATATGAAAAAATAGCCGAGAAAAAACAACACTCGTGGCCTGACGATTGCGCTCAGCATGAAACAGCCTATCGCCTTTAAGTGTTGACTTCAATGTTGTTCACTTTTACATATATATATATATAATTTTTAAAAAAACAGACCACTTTAAGGTTCCATTGTAATAGTTTATTTCACCAGAGACCTTTTAAAGTACCCTGGATCTTTAGACATCACTTTCAAAATATGAAACGTAAAATGAAATGAAAATTTACACTTTTGACGGTCAGTATTAAGTTTATGTAATTTAACAGAGAAGGTATATATTAGATCACACATAAACCACCCGTTTGGTTCCTTTTAAAAGCAGTTCATGAGACAAAATGATGAGCTGACAATATTATGAGTTTTACATAATTAATATTGTATTTGTAATAGTTATGTTAACAATTATTATTACTCACTTTATGCAATACTACTGAGATCAAATGCAATTGTAGATTAAGTGGCCATGGTTAAATGTAAATAAATACCAGAACAGCCCAAAAATCGGAATTGGCAACTTAGCAATAAGCAATAACAAAAAAAGAACAGGACAAAATAATATAAAGCAAGGAGACAATATATTCAAGGAAACTTAACAATAATAAAGCGAAACAACAATAATATGGCAAAAAGTTCAAAAATTAAGAATTGGCGTTGACACAGAAGACCGAATTGGAACAAGTGGACGTAATGTTCTAACTTCAAAACAAGACAGACTGGGACTGAGTCAGATAAAACCGAGAAACTGTCTTTTTTTATGAGCTAGGAAGAAACTCCAGTGTGCTTCTGCCTATACATTGGAGAAGGGAAAGTGTTTTGCAATCATTCCCAATAACAATGAAATAATAAATTAAATGGAAAAGTTTTCAGAATTTGTAAAAAAAAAAAAAATGAAGAAAACAACAAAACCTTTCACTATACAACATTATTTATATACCATTGGAGTAAATTTAATTGTGTTAACAATTCTTATATTTTTTTTCATAAAATTCAACTGGAAATTCAATGATAGACATTCAATTAGACTTTCAGAACGAACAATAAACTAACAATACCCTAATGAAATAGGAGGCCTATCATTGTTCCAGGACTATAACCTAGCTTTACTTTGAAACATCCCTTTATTATTACACACATTGCCCTGCAGGAAAACATTTGCTTCTTTAAAATGCTATTGCAAACTGATATCACACTAAAGACCTTTCCATTCAAGTAACAGTAGCCCTGGGGTGAAAATATATATATCAATTTTAGTATTTGCCATATTATAATTTTAAAAGGTGAAATTCAATCCAAAGAAAAAAACAATAATTATCTGCTTAGCGAGATTCATATTTATTTAAATAACAAAGTATGAATACCTCCTTTTTGTGTACTTAGTTTCATTTTTTTCTAGGCATTCTTTTCAAAATAATTATTATATTTTTATTAGATATACTTGTTTCTTCATTACATTTATTTCAAAATACATAACGGCTGCAAACCAGTGTGCATCTATTTATTGATTCATTTACTATCAATTCATGTGACACAATTTTTAACCATATTGTTTTACAAGTAGTTGCCAAATATCTGAGACACTTGTTTATAAAAAAAAGGTTTAATGAGATGTAGTAAATTGTATAAATATACAGGGTGCGATGGATAAATTGTCTTATAAATTACGCAAAAATGAAAATAACACTGACATCTCATTTTATGAGACATATTTACCAAAATTACACAAAAATATTTTAAAATACAAAAGAGTAAATTTATTCAATAAAATCGCCATTGATTTCAATCACGGCCTTCCGACTTCGGAATCTCCCGACTCTCTTCTGTACAGTCTCCTTGCTTAAGTTGGTGAATGCTACCGTAATTCTTGCATTATTTCATCTTTGGTGTTACAAGAAGTTTTGTTAATCTCTCGCTCAACTGCGCCCCACACATAATAATCAAGGGCTAATTTTCCTGATTTCCTTTTCCATTTAGGTACTGACCAAACTTCATATTGCTTAACTTCGGTGGTCGTACGAGAAACAGTGTTTCGACATGATGTGGCCGTAAGCCAGATAGATAGATAGATAGGAATAGACTGAGATAGATAGATAGATAGATAGATAGATAGATAGATAGATAAATACGAATAGACTGAGATTAGATAGATAGATAGATAGATAGATAGATAGATAGATAGATAGAAATAGACTGAGATTAGATAGATAGATAGATAGATACGAATAGACTGAGATTAGAAAGAAAGAAAGAAAGAAAGAAAGAAAGAAAGAAAGAAAGGGACTGAGATAGCTAGCTAGCTGGCCAGATAGATAGACAGAAAGGATTAAATTAATAACCAAATACATTTTAGGAAGACTGATGAATATACTAGTTTTTGTTTTTAGAAAAGAAACCTGCGCAGAATTGCCCTCATTATTAACCGTTTCTTTTCACCGACTTCACACCACCTCAAGTCAATTTGGTCGATGCGAAAGCGGTGTTGGCAGGGGCACACATACTAACTGCAGCAGTCCACCTTTCAGATTGTTACTCATGATAAATCGCTATATGCATTAACTTTAGAAACCGCCACTCCCACTAACCTGGATGACCGCCAAGTGAAATCTGGGCTAGCCTCATAATCGATTTCGGAGAAGTGTTTTCATTATAATTTTTGGCTTGCGAAAATCTTTTCTGACGAACGTTCCACTTGAGACCAACTCGATTTG